AGGACAGTGTATTCTTTCACAAATGGCAATTATCCAGTTAATTTTATTCCTCCGGCAGAAGAACAAAACCACACTTGGAGCTGTACCTTCCTCATCCATGGTTACATGCTAAAATCTAACCCAGTCACATCACAGCTACTCCCCAGAAAATGGCAAGCTACCAAGGGCTTGCCCTCATAGCAGCAACTCAAATCCTAACCTGACTGTGTAAGTTTTTTCAGTCTTCATACACCCCCATGAGCAGCTGTAGAATGCAATAATAGCTGAATGTTTTCTTCTGTGTGGTTCAAAGATAATCCTTTAAGAAGCTACACTGCACTATGTTAATAAACAGTTCTCCCACAAAAGATCCACATAACAGTGTTTTCCCAAGATGAAAACAAGCAGGTACATACTGATCTTCTGTTCCAAAAAACTTCACAAAGAAGCACTTTTTTCCACGAGGTTTCTTCAGATCTTTAGGTGGATTAACAATCTGAAGGTGATCAGAAGTGAAAGTTAAAAAGCACATAATGATAGGTTTACACTCCATGATTCTCCTGACAGCTATTGCAGATTTTTTTCATCTGACTAGGAAGAGAACTGGAATCTGCTATAAGTTTTTCAAGTAAATATGTAACCTAAGTATTTCCTTGGACATGAGAATGCTGCAGCAGAGTGCTGTTACCTCAGCATGCTTAGCCCTCACACCGACACCAAAAATACAAGAAAGTTCTTTCAGAGAAGTAGAAATAATAGAAATGGCACATAAAATTCAATTATTTTAAATCTTTCACCAGAAAAAAAAAAACAACCAAAAGAGAAAGTTTAACTACTCACTATCCCCAGAATTAATACTCAAAAATCATAGCTCTAGAACAGTATCTTGAGAAGCCAGACTCCTAATTTCTATTATTAAACACAGTTTAGTTAACCAACTTACTAAGGAAGGAAAGAAAACCTGTCTTACAGAAAGAGATAGGATTTAAATAACTAAATCTGGGAAACACAATCAGTTCCAGAGCTCCAGAGCTGGCTCTCTGTCACTTTTTATTCCATCTGAACTACCAGCTGTTAGTGACAGACTGAACTTCTAGATCAAATAAAGCCTGGTTCACAGTTTAATTTGTGGGGTGTGTGATTAAAAAACAAACAAATAAGAAAACCAGCATTAATCAACAACTGAAATGCTTTCAGGCAAAGCCTTCCCCATACAGAAGGAAAATGCAAAAACAAACAAACAAACAAACATAAACCACCACAAGTAAGAAAACAACAAAAAAAAACCCCAAACCTCACCTTTCCTGGCCATGGAGGATAACGGCCCAGTTTCCCCCTAGAGAAAAAAGAAAGTATTAGGCACTAGAATCAGAGAAAAAAAACTATTCCAGTATCTGCCTTTTTGCATTATCTCATACTTTATGTATTAGGAGAGTTACAACTTGCAGTCAAAACCTTGTGTGCAAGGCAGGACACAAGGCTGACACGTGCACCTGATGCAGGCTCTGAACAGTCTGACCTCGCTGCACTGTCAGAACTGAAGAGCACAGCAGCAGCACAGCGGCTGCCTGCAAGACAAGTAACAGGAACTGCAGCACTCTAAGAATGGAGATTCCTTCATAAGGAGCCGGAAAAAAGCACTGATGTAGGTAATCAGATCAAAGTTCAGGCTGGGAACTTCTATCCACCTGTCCAGAGCAGTCTGCGAGCAGAGCAGCTCAGAGAGCTGAGCTTCTGTGTCTCGCAGGATCCCCCCAACAGGTGCTCCACTACCACCTTCTCCAGGTGCTTACTGCTACAGTGACATGTGCTAAAGACATGAAGAGCCACTAAAAAAAAGGTAGAAAACTTTCCTTCATACATTTGCAAATGTCTCCATTATGAAAGCTAGACAATACTAGAAACACAGAGGAGGAAGAGACATCAGTGTTAGCCCTCAGCTTTATCCTCATCTCACCCTTGTCACTGACTCAGGCTGCAGTGCTCACAAAACCTCGTTTGCAAGAGACTGGCAAAGAACCTGTGGGGCCCTGACACAAAGCTTCCCAGCCAGTGGCACGGCAGCCCCCCAGGATGGACTCAGCAGCCACAGGCAGGCAGGAATGCTGTCAGAAGCTGTGATCCTGCCTCACACGTGATGCTCCCACTCCTGTACCAAACGAGACACCCAGCAAACCCTTTCTGTTGCTGCTGTCTGATTGTTAAAGTTCCCTGTGACAGCTGCAGGGACAGCACCTGCCTGGGCTGCCATGTACAAAACTAAAGCAGTACAGTCTGCATTTCAAAACTGACAGCAGTGCACTCCCCAAATTCTCATCCGAAAGAAAGAAATTTGCTAAAAGTAACCAACCTTTACTTACTTTGCCATATAAATTAGATAACTTCCCAGCACTGCCAATTTTTCAGATGAGAAGCTGCAGTTGTCACAGCCTGGAGCAGGCGCTTCTTTTTCTGGGATGCAAATAAAGATGTATGCACTTGCGTGTTGGGAATTAACTACTTCTTGGAACCCTGGCAGGACAACCTGGCCCATCCAGCACAGCAACACCACTTAATCATGGAATGCTCTCAGGTCTCCCGACCAGGAAACAAAGAGATCACAGATCTGACTACCTGAGGGTAAGATCGGAGTGAAAAGGGGAAATGGTTTCCGGGGGCTCCCACAGGGACACCCCACCCTACAAGGAAATGCTGTTTTCCAGGATATTGTTGTGTGGCTTCATTAAAGCACTGCCAAGAAACGGCGTCACGGCTCTCCCTAAATACCTCCTGACTGATCCCTGTCCCTTCTCGCCTCCCTCGGGAGGCAAGCCGTGCTTCGACCGAGCCCTCGCAGTGCTCGCCCCTTCGTGCCGGTCCCGTCCCCCCTCCACAGTAAACAGCTTCCTCCAGGAGACGTCCCAGGAGCCTCTGGCACCGGCCCGGCTCACAGCCCGGCCCGGCCCGGCCCTGCCGGGCCGCCCCCCTCACACCGCCAGCCGGACGGCGCTGGCGGCACCCGAGGCCCCAGAGCGGCCCCACCGCCCCGCCCCGCCCTGCCCAGCCCTGCCCGCAGCCGCTCCCCGGAGTCCCCGCTGACAGCGCCCGGCGGCCCGGCCCGACCCAGCTCCGGCCGCGCCGCTCCCGGGCCGGGTACAGCCCCGCCGCTTCCCCCCTGCGTCTCCTTCGCGGCCGCAGCCTCATTCCGCGAGAGGCGCCCGTCCTGCCCGCCCCGCCGCCCGCCGCGGGCGCCCCGGCCCGCCGGCACTCACCACACCAGGTCCCCGAGCCTCAGGCTCACGGCCGCCATCTCACCCTGCGCGCGGGGGCTGCCGGGACCGGGCCGCGCCCGGGGGGCGGGGCCTCGCCTGGGCGGGCGGGCTGTCACGTGGGCGGCCGAGCGGTCACGTGGGCGGCTCCTCTCAAGCGTGACGGCGGCGGCGGACACGCCCAGTGGCGGCGGGAGCGGCGCCTGAGGCGGCTCCTCCCCGGGGCGGGCCCAGCTCGACTCCTCCCAGAAGGCGGAGCCCAACCCGGCCCGACCCAGAGCCGCGGCCGACTCAGAGCCCGAAAGGCGGGGGGAACAAACTTCTTATCATCGATTCGTAGTTGTCAGAAAGGGCATTCTTCTTTATTCAGCCAGCCTGCCGTTCGGAGGACAGCCCCTCTAATCGAACGTGCCAAGTGGGAGATGGACAGTGCTTTTTGTTACACGTACTGTTTGCATATTTATTAGATATTCTCGCTTACTTAATACGTATTTATTAGTTTGCTTTCCGTGGTCGCACCCCTATTGGAAGTCCTTCTTTGGCCTTCCGGGTCGTCTTGACCAGGCACGGCGTCCTTGTGCTTCGCCAACAGACACTGTAACGTTTGTTTTTATTTTATCTGGTACACGGAGCTGAGTTTACATCCTGTTTGTTTACATCCTTATCGAATTCTCAGGGACTTCTCTGAGATTGTATTGTTCCTTATCTGTGCATTCCGGGATAGAGATCGTATTGTTCCTAGTCTGGGCATGCCGAGATCCTGCGAGTGAAGTTTCTGTTTCTTTAATAGGACAACTCGCCTCGAGAAGCAATAACGGAGGGTTCGGCTGTCCCTCGGGGGGATTGGCACCAGGGGCATCTGTGCACCTCACCCCTACTCCCCGCTGACCCCCGCGGGTTTGGAACATGGTTTGTGCTCGCTCTCCGCAGGAGCAGCGGGAGACGCCGCCTGTGCTCGGCCGTGGTGGAGCTGCGTTGGTTTTCCCGGATAACTTGCTGTGTGTTGTGGTGGTGGCTTTTCCCTTTGTCCACCTAAGTAAGCCAATTTCACATTTTTTCCAAGCATTCTTGCTGCCTCTTCTGCCCTGTGGACCCACAGAAACCTGAGTTGGTAGGTGCCTCAGAGGGGCCTTAAGGAGCTTGATCCCTGTGCTACACAGCCCTGGGTATAAACTCCCCACCCTGCACCCTGTAATGAGTGGTGTAACTGCTCTGCTCTCCCCTCAGATCTGGGTGAATTGAGGACAAGTATCCTAAGTGGTGTTTCTCAGCTTAGTTAGTTGCATCCCGCTTGTTCCTACCCCCACCATGCTTTTTTAGGAGAGATGCACCATATTAGTCTTGTTTTAAGAGCATTAACTGCCTTTTAAATGCATGTTTTACTTGTTTTGTGTGTAGTACACATGCACACACTGCTTTGTTTCCACACATTGCTCTTGGCTGTTGGCAAAACCCACTCCATATCCCAAATGCCTTCAATAAAGGATTCTGCAGCAATGCTGGAGCTGGTGTGGTTCCTTTAAGATAAAATATAGGTTCAAAGAGAAAAATAGAACTCTGCTGTCAGATTTAATTTACCAGGGGCTGATATAGCCAGACCCACACAGTTTCTACTCCTTAAACTCCAGTCATTAAAAGTGTAGCGAGAGCAGTCTTTGCTCGACAGACTTTGTCTCATCCCAGGAATGGAGTTCTGAGCCTGTCTGCTGCTCACAGCCCAGCCTCTGACTCTGACTGATGCCGAAAAATCAGAGAAGAAACTCTCTAGACTCGTTTTGAGTACAGAAAGCCAAAAAAGCACACGTTTATTCCAGCACCAGGTGTATCAGAAAAAAATTCCTAAGGGTGCACTACGAACCACACAGGTTCCATAACTTTATACAACTCTCTAATTACACATTCAAGGATTACCTCACCTCTTCCACCCTATTTTCCACCCACCATATGCCTCCCTGGAATTGCTTCAGAGGTCGTAAAGTGACCCCTGGTGCCAGGCATCAACATCTTTCTTGTTATGTTCTTCTCTTGACTCCTAGATTTCCTCCCTTCTGGAACTGGCTCAAGGCCTTAACCCAGTCTTGTGGATGTGGTTTGTCTTCTTTCTTGCTTTTCATCTGTTTCTTCACAGGTGCAAGAACCATCTCTGTTTTTATCACAATTCTTGCCTGTAAAAAAAGGGAAGAGTGCTGTGTCAGGTTCTGGGCCCCTCAATTTAGGAAGGACATTGAGGTGCTGGAGCAGGTCCTAAGAAGGACAACGAGGCTGGGGAAGGGACTGGAGCAGAAGTACCGTGAGGAGAGGCTGAGGGAGCTGGGGTCGTTCAGCCTGGAGAAGAGGAGGCTCAGGGAGACCTTGTTGCTCTGCACAACTCTCTGACAGGAAAGTGGAGCCAGGTGGGGGTCAGTCTCTTCTCCCAGGAACCAGCAGTAGGACAAGAAGACACAGTCCAGGGAAGCTTTGGGTTGGACATTAAGAAGAAATTTTTTACAGAGAGAGCGGTCAGCCATTGGAATGGGCTGCCCAGGGAAGTGGTGGATTCACCGTCCCTGGAGGTTTTTAAGATGAGAATGGATGTGGCACTGAGTGCCATGGTCAAGTAGGCAAAGTAGTGTTGGGTCAAAGGTTGGACTTGATGATCTCAGAGGTCTTTTCCAACCCAGTTGATTCTGTGATTCACAAGAAATTATAAACTACGCATTTTCCCTTGAGAACTTCCAACCTTACTAAAACACATGAGTTCTACGGCTAGCACCCTCCTTTAAAATGCTTAGTCTAAAACATAAATTCTATGGCTATCAGTTCTAATAATTATTCTTAATTTTACGGCTACACGACCTGGGGCACAACTGCAACCTTTCCTTAATCGTCCCAAACCCTGATTTTACCCAGGCTTTTGAATGTTCCTTGACCTAGTAGCTGGACCTCCTCAAAACCAGATGTTTTTTCTATCCCAAACGCTGTTTCGGATGCACAAAACATCTCAAACAGCCAAGCCAGGCTCCCCTCGGCCCCTCTCCGCTCCCCTCGGCCTCCCTCGGCTCCCCTCGGCTCCTCTCGGCTCCCCTCGGCTCCCCTCGGCTCCCCTCGGCTCCTCTCGGCTCCCCTCGGCCCCTCTCCGCTCCCCTCGGCTCCCCTCGGCCTCCCTCGGCTCCCCTCGGCTCCCCTCGGCCCCTCCCGGCCCCGCTCGGCTGCCCTCGGCCTCCCTCGGCTCCTCTCGGCCTCCCTCGGCTCCTCTCGGCTCCCCTCGGCTCTCCTCGGCTCCCCTCGGCCCCGCCCGGCCCCGCCCGGCCCCGCTCGGCTGCCCTCGGCTCCCCTCGGCCCCGCCCGGCCCTCCTCGGCTTCCCTCGGCTCCCCTCGGCCCCGCCCGGCCGCGCCCGGCCCCGCTCGGCTGCCCTCGGCTCCCCTCGGCCCCGCCCGGCCGCGCTCCCTCAGCCCGCCATGGCGCGCAAGAAGCTGCACCGTCCGATCGCCGCCATGGCCAAGAAGATCCGCGAGTACCGCGCGCTGAAGGAGCGCCCGCGGGACTCGCAGCGCTTCGCCCTGGACTACGAGACCATGCGGCGGCCGCTGACGCAAAAGCGGCTGCCGGTGCGTGCCTGGGAGGACGTGCGGAACGAGAACCGGCTTTTCTCGCTGCTCTGCCGCCTGCCGCGCTTCGGCGTGGGCCGCACTGTCACCCGCAAGTCCTGGCTGTGGGCGCACGACGAACCCTGCTACTGGGTCATCACCAAGGTGAAGGCGGACTACACGGCCGAGGTACCCGCCCTGCCCCATCCCCGCCCCGCGGCAGCTTCGCCCGCCGCGCCCTGCCCTCAGCGCCATCCGCTTTTCTTTGCAGAACATGGACCACGGCAGAGCCTGGGGCTACCTCACCTTCAGAGGTAAGACCGGCTCGTTTTCCCACCCACGTGGAGAGCACCGGGAGTGCGGCAGGAAAAACCGCGGCCGCTCCCAGCCTGGGGAATTTGTGTTTTTCTCAGATCTGCGAACGGGAAAAGACGTTCCCCCTTCTTTTAGTTTCAAAAGCTGGGATCTAGCTCCCTCGGAATGTCTTTCCGAGGAGTGCTGTGGGAGAGCCAGTGCAAGATGACCTTGGGGAACAGCAGCACTAGCAGTGCTAGATGAGCTGACGGACTGTTCTGAGACTTTGAAGGCAAGACACAGAATGAGCACAGGGGGGGTGGTCCGGGTAAAATTTTCACTAAAAAGCTACAGTGGCAAACAGCTTGTGTTCCTGAAATTTTTGATTAATGCTTGAATGAGTGGATTTCCCTTTTTAGAGCTGCTTTGTATTATGTATACAATTGTCCCCTGTGGGAGTTACTGAAGTAGTTCTCATTCAAAGGTTTTGAAGTTGTTGGGAGCTTTTAACACTCAGTTTTCCAGAGAACTTTCATCAGTGTAGAGAGAAATTACTCTTGTTCTTTAGCCATAGAAATGGAACCTGAGAGAGGTGGAATGACACTTTGGATTAAGGGAGGGAATCACCAATAGTACTGGAACAACTTGCCTGTAGTCCTCTCAGCCTGTTTCTGTTTTGATTTCCAAGGACAGAAGCGAGATCCCATAGTATAGCAGGGGAGATCCTGTTCAACCCTTTGAAAACTCCATTTACCTGTTGTAGCATTTTGGGTGCTGAAGAGATGCTGTGTTTCCTGGAAGTTGGTTGTGACAGTGTTGCCCACTTGTGTTCCTCATCTTTTCCCAGGCAAAACTGAAGAGGAAGTGAGGGAGATCGACAAGGTCATGTACCATGACTGGCGTGTGGTGCCCAAGCACGAGGAGGAGGCCTTCAAGAAATTCACCCCCGTGCCAGAGGAGACTGTTCGGTTCCTGCCGTACCCCCCGCTGCTCCGAGCCATGATCCTTGCCCAGTGGCAGAAGGAGGGAAAGCCGGTCACAGAGGAGCCAGTTATTGATCTGCAGAAGATCCTGGCCACTCCCCAAGAACGGGCAAAGAAAAAAGCTACAGGGACACCTGTATAAAGACTTGTTCTGTGTCCCGAGCTTCCCACGTGCTTCTCACTGCCCGTTAGAAGCCCAGTGCACAGGGCTGTTTCAGGGAGCCCTGTGCCCACCATGGTAGGGGGTAGCCAGGTTTCCTGGCTTTCTCCCCAGCCCTGTACAGTCACTTCATCTCAAAGGGAAGATGCTGACTCTTTTTCCATAATGTTGGTCTCAGTCAGCAGAGGAACCTTCTTGGTTCCCCGGACACAGCTCCTTGTCAGCCAACTGCAGTTCTTTGGAGCATAATTTTCTTCATAACCTGAAAATTAGTGTTTTGACAACATTTTTTAGATAATTTGGGTCCTGCATGAATCACAGAGAAATGACTGATAACATCACAGTATTTCACAGAACTGTGAAGAAATGTATCTGCAAATGAAAATAAATGTTGTCTTAATTCTGCAGCACAGTTCTAAGAAAACTTGGGAATTTTTTTCAGTGCCTGGAGATTATTGTGAGGGCCAAATGCAGAGCCATTAGCTTACCAAATGAGCAAGGAGGGAGAGAGCTGTGGGTGTGAAATGGGATGAGTAGAACAGTCTAGTCCTCTGTACTGCATGGCTGGGATCTGAACACAGCCCTAGAACAGGCAGTGCCTTCCTGAGGGAGCACAGACCCACAGTGGGCAGAGCCAAGTCTGGTCACAGCATCCCCCAGCAGCCCTGGACAAGGCAATGACCAGGGTGCACCAGGGAGTCCAGCCAGGAGCAAAAGCAAATAGAGCTGATACAGCATAAGGTGTAGAGGCATCCAGCAGTTTGGGTGGGGAGGGACCTCTGAAGATGATCTACTTGAGCCCCTCCAAGTCCAAGGGGTCCATCCAGGAACATCTGGGGACAGACACAGCTACAGGCATATTGAGGGCCCCAACTCATGTTTAAGTGAGGCTCCTGGGCCATAGGAGGAAAGGGCCCTTGTACAGTTGGGGGTCTGGGTGGTAATGATCAGGACAGTCCTGTCCTGGTGAGCTCAGAACACCTGGGGGAAGGGGTGTCCTCTCACAGGACCCTGGGCAGCCTGGGAGCCTTCCCAATGGTGAAGGTCCCTTCCAGGAAGCTGCACAGCCCATTTGCCACAGGTTGGATTCCACACCCAGATTGTGGTGTGAGCTTTGCTGGCCCTCCCAAACCTGTACAGTTACCTCACAGATCATTTACCAGTACAGGAGGTTGTCTGAGCGATGCTGGCAGTGACCTGCTTCCTCACCCACCCATCTGATGGGTACCAGATGTCTGCACTGCTCAAACCGCTCCTGGCTTTATTCAAGGGTGCAGCCCCAGGAGTGCAGGACTGGTCCCAGTACCTGTTTCCAAACTTTGTGGTTGAGATGCCCCCACTAATGCTGGAGGCATTGCCAGTTGTACTACACCCTGACCTGTGCTGCCCCACAGTGCAGGCGTTGGTCATGGATGAGATTCACCTCAGGGCCCCTGCTCAGGGCAGAACATGCTCCTGTCGTAAGGAGGTGGTTCCCTCGTGCACTGCCACGTACGGCCCTTGAACTAAGGCAGTTCAACAAAATAAATATGAAGGTGTCCAAGTGCTGCTGCAGCTGAGGAGCTCCCTCCCCACAGTGTCTGTCGCAGATGCCCAAGGGACTGTGAAGTGCCGCCCTGTACCGCGCTGAAAGCTGACCTGACGTGTTAATCCTGGCAGTTCACCTGAAGGGGCCACCCTGACAGAAGCTGCAGCTAGCCAGCAGATAGATGCTTCTCTGCTCTTCTATTTCTGAAGCTGTTCCACCTTTAATTTCCACCCTTTATTTCTGCTGCCGGCAGAAGCTACAGATTGCATTTGGCTTGCTGGACCAGCCCCTTCTGCTGCAACTCTGTGAGCCATCCACACCTCATTTCTTGCCGCTAAACCGCTCAATAACGGTGAACACTTGAACTGCACTCCCACCCTTTTTAAATGTCCTTAAACACCGAGAAGCAATCCCAGTGCTTTCACAGGAACACAGTGCACTGCTCAAGCTGATGTTAACACGTTTATTACATACAGAACAGATATGGTTTGTTGTTGATAGCATAGGGAACAAAGCATGGGAACGTATTCATACAGCAGGCTCTTTACAGAATGCCATCTTCAGACCAAACAGCGGAGTTTACAGGCCTTAAGACACTTTTTAAAATCCTTTTGTAACATACAAGATACTTTACATACATCACAGTGGAGATATGACAGGGAAGTGTGCTGAAGCCAGTCAGTTCTCACCTTGATGCCCAGCAGCCACCCAAGGCTGCAGGAGCTGCCAGCAGAGGCTGGGTCTCCCCTCTGGAGCTGCCCCTCTGGGCCATGTGCTTCTCTTGGAGGAAAACATGCACCGAGCTGGAAAGGAACCTGGTGGTAGAGGTCCCAGACTGATTTCCTCATGCTGCCAGAGCCCAGTGGGTGACAGGAGACTGAGTGATATCCCTTCAACTGCTCAAACCAGATACAGAACAGAAGTACAAATGTTGCAATTCTGATTTTCCTACAAAAGAGTTGACAAAGTGAAGGAACTGGACCCTAGCAGGGGTTTTTCCTTCCCCCCCCGCCCCCCAACTAGCCCAAATTCTGAAGTTTACCTGGCCCTAACTGTTACATGACAGTGGAATCTGTGCTTTAAATGTTATATTCTTAACGTCAATGCACTCTGTGTTGGGACCCAAAGAGCTCTTCCTAGCAGAAAGCATATGGGGAAAGTGAATTAGAAGCCTGGCATGGTCAGCAGTGCCCCAGTGAAATGTCCCTGCTGAAAGGTCCCCCCACATGCAGATGGTGACTCCAGCTATCCCTTAACCCAGTGCCAGCCACAGAGCCCAGTGTGCAGATGCCTGGAAGGCTCCCTCCAGCTGGATTCCTGCCTGGGGGAGCAGCGGTGTGGGTGTGTCACCAGCATTTCTCACAGGCAGTGTGGGCACCACTGTGGCTGGCTGAGGTTCACCAGAGGTGCTGCTTGCCTCCCTGCAGGGGCAATGACTGCCCCAGCCTTTCCTGAACTGCAGATCCAAAAATCGTTTCAGTGCTGCTGCATCATCAGCAGAGGTGCCACATGTTAGAGCATCACCTGGGATATATGGCATCCCTGCAGCACAGCAGGAGCTTTAGACCACAAGCCTTGGGAACAGCCTGGTCCACGGCAGCAAGCACAGGACACAGTTGTGTGCTTTCTGGGAGATGGAGGCTTGCCCAGTTGTCCCCAAACTGTCATAAGGATGTCCATGAGAACCCCAGAGTGCTGCACAGCTCAGGGAAGAAACAAGATGACCACCAGGAGCTTCAAAATTCATCAGTAACAACTGTGACTTGTCCTAGTCCTGCACATTCAGAAGGGAGTGCTCTGGGGACACGGAACTTGACCTTGTGGGATGGGACTGCGCTGACAGAAAGGGGGAACACACCATTGCCTCTACACCTGGAGCTGCCACATTCTACACTTTGAGCTCAAAACCACTCTCCCTGGCCCTGGTTTTTTTGCACATCTGCCCAGCAGTGTTTACACAGGGAGGGCCATCCCCACTTCTCTTAAGGGCTGTCAATTTTTTTCAGGAGTCAGAAATTTCCAGCTTTTTGAACTACTTACTAACACAGTTAGTGTTAGATAAAAGATGTTAGATAAAAGATGCTGAGATTTCCCAGTTCCTCAGTTCCCTTTTCTGTGATTGTGTGACTTCAGGTGAGACACAGCCTTTCTATACCTTGACTGCATATCCAGTCTTTCCTAACTCACAGCTGGTCTGTTTTCCTGTGAAAACAATCTCCTTCCAGCAATTCCTGGGAAGGGGACATAGCCTTGAGTCAAGGCAATGTCAATGTGTTAATGCAGAATTCACAGCAGATCACCATCTACCCCCACCCATGTTTTAAAAGCCACCGAATGCAATGCAGAGATAACTTTCTTCTGAACCTTTCAGAACCAGCTAAGGAGTTCTTTACTGCCTGGCATTTTTGGAAGGGGGAGTTAGGTGTTGCCTTTTCTGCTCTTGAAAGGGCAATGTTCTAGTACCCCTTTGCTACCACAGCCATGTGGCCTCCACAATCAAACACCCACTGGCCACCTGAGGCCACCAAACAATCCTCTTGGGACACACACAGGCACCCAGCACACAAGTGCTGAGGCAACAGCAGCAGCAGCAGAGGAGGGGACTTTCCCACTGCAAGGATGGAAGATGTGAACCCCACAGCAATGGTGCTGGTGCCTCCTCCAGCCCAGCAGCAGAAGGGCTGCCCAAACCATAATGCTCCTTTCTACTGAGGGCTCCTTGGACCTATCTCCTCTCAGACCGGGGGATGTTACTCTGTGCTTAAGGTGGAGAGTTCACTGGTGAACTAGAAGGGATTTCTGCTGGGGTGCTGCAGAAGTGATTCACCACCAGTGCTTTGCAGGGGATGCCTGAGGACACATTTCTTTCTCATGCAGGTGGGAGTGAAGCAACCTGCCTGAGAACCTGAGCCACCCCCCTCCAGCTGGGCAAAGGCTTCCCACAGTCCTGGTTCCAAGCTCACTTCAAGATGTGCTGCTGTTTCTCTCCTTGTAGATGCCAGCTCCAGAGCAGAACAAGAATCCAACCCTGCCGAAAGCGCACGGGCCCGAGATGAAAGCTTGCGAGTTCCAAGGGGGTCACAGTCTGAGGCAGGAGCCGTTGCAGTTGTCTGGGGTCAGTTTCCAGCAGGAGTTATAATGCAGGCGTTCTGTATGTACATCTTGGCATTCAGGCGGGAGGAGGGACACTTACATCGTGGGGATGGAGGAATTCTCACTCAGGGATATATGATACCTGCCACACAATAATGTGGCTCCGTTCAGCCTTGGAAAGTACTGGCTTCACCTGTGTGGCATCTCCTGCGTTCTCTTCTGTCTCGTCATCTTCCCCATCCCCTGGAGAGAGAAAACAGAGAGTAAAAATGGCAAGAAAGAAAATCCCATAGTGCACTGCTCTGGAATACTCCAAAGTGGCCAATACTGTTAAGTCCAAGCAGTCTGACAACAGACACCATGAGCTGAGACCTTCCTCTGTGCCTGGAGAACAACTACAGCAAGATGATGCTTTTCCAAAGTTGGACTGCACGGATGGGACAAACCAACTCCAGCAGCAGCAAAAACCACCCTGCCTTTCAGGGAAGCCAATTTTTACACACAGAGCACCTTCAGCAGCATGGGTGATCCCAGTGGGGCAGCAACATTTGGAGCCAGTGGCACAGATGGGTTTGTTCTTTCCAGAGCCATCCACACAGCCATGTGGCACTGCAGGCACAGGGCAGAGGTTGGCAGCCTTGCACTGTGCAAGGAAAATCCTTATCCCTCCTCACAGCCAGACGCAGGAGAAACAGAGTGCGGGGTTTTTCTGCTCTGGCTCCCCACAGTAGCGATGCCTCACTCCATGGCCACAGCCATGCACCCTCTCCCCTTCCAGGTGCCTCCCACCA